AATGGTAATGTTTCATTTTGTTAATTTTTTCTCGGATTTTGGTCTTGTTTTCTCAGATTTACATATATATATATATACCTGTGTGTGTTTCCTGGTTTGAGATTCATACCTTAAGTTAATGGATGAAGATAGCCAAAGATACATTACTCATTTAAGAAAACTAGCATTTCCTTCAAACAAGAGTCATACATTAAATAGATGCAAATTCAATCATGTTTGGGGGGGCGAAGGTAATATTAGCTTAGTAATTTGAATGATGAATGTGGTATCAGGTTCTAAATTTTATAAGGTTTGTAGATATATAATTTAAAATAAGAATGGTAATGTTTAACAATGTTAATTTTCCCCAGCATTTTGGTAAGCATTTATCAGATTTACAACTTGGCTTTCCCAGAAAATAGATACCATACTTTGAGAATTAATGGTTTTCATTTTTAATTTCACTTTAACCTTTGTGAATTCATAAGCCATATTTCTGAAATAAGAAACACCTATTTTACAAAAAAGAAGTTTTGAGCTCCCCTTAAGGACAATGTAAAAATTAACATTGAACAATTAGTACTTTGGAGGGAGGACATTTGTATCTAAAGCATATATACAAACACAGATATTTGCTGGTACCCATGATTACATAAAGGACAATGTTTACAAACACTGAGTTAATTAAATTTTCCAACTGCCATTTGAAGTATGAAGGTGGAAGGGTTATTGCTTGGCATTAAGAACATAAAAATGATTCTAAATATGAAGCATACAAAGAAGATGGGCAATATTTTTGTTTCAAAACCAGGTAAAATTATGGTTGAATATTTTCAAAAACAAAGACAAAACCTGAATACATCTATGAGAAGATAACACATGAAAATGGAAAAAATCACACCTCATCCTATAGATCAGGATAGCCTCCAGTGATTGCTGGTTTTGAGAACCACATTTTAAGGGAAAAATTTAAAACTTTAAAAAGATTAAACAAGTTAAATAGCAGAAAATGTAATGGTTATGATTTTAAAATGAACCAAAAAAACCCAAAAACCCAACAAGAGTATAATGGTTCCTCAAAAAATGAAGCATGAGGGCTGTGGTTGTGGCTCAGTGGTAGAGCACCTGCCTAGCATGTGTGAGGCAATGGGTTCAATTCTCAGCAATGCATATAAATAAATAAGAAAGAAAGAAAGAAAGAAAGAAGGAAGGAAGGAAGGAGGAAAGGAAGAAAGAAAGAAAGGTAAGTCCATCAACAGCAACAAATAAATAAAAAAAAATTAAACGTGATTGGCATATGATCCAGCAATTCTACTTCTGAATCTACACACAAAATAATTGAAAGTAGGACCTCAACCAGATGCTGGTACCCCAATATTCACAGTAGTATAATTCATGATCACCAAAAAAATAGAAGCAACCCAAGCATTCGTTGATGAATAAATGGCTAACCAAATGTGATGTATTCTTATGATGGGATATTACTTGGCTTTAAAAAGGAAGGAAAATTCTGTCACATACTACAAAATGATCAGTTTTATGGACATTAAGATAAGTGAAAATTCAAGACATAAAAAGATAAAACACTGCATGATTCCTGTTATATGAAGTCAAATTCATGGTGACAGAAAGTAGAATGGTTGCTGCCAGCGGTTGGGGGAAGGAATGAGTGGGGAGTTATTCTTCAAGGTACAGTGTTTGAGTAGGGAAATATGAAAAATTTCTGGAGATGGATGGTAGTTACATAACAGTATGAATGCACAGTAGTCTCCCTGCTAAGTCTGAAGTTTTTTTTTCAAGGATTCAGTAACCCATGCTCAACCACAGTCTGAAAATATTTTTAAAAGTTTCAGAAATAAAGTATTTATAAGTTTTAGATAACATATTTGCAGTATATTGTCATTATTGTTCTATTACTGTGATACTGTGAATCTCTTACTGTTCCTGATTTATAAATTCAAATTTATTACATATATATATATACACACACATACATATACACACACATGTAGTATATATATATATATATATGAGGTAGTACTATACAGTTCAGTACTATACACTGTTTTGGGGTATTGCAACACATTCCCCATTGATAAGGGGGGAATTCTATACTTAATATCACAAAATTATACACTTAAAACAGTTAAAATGGCAAATTTTGTGTTACATCCAAGACACACATTTTTTCCATTCAACTGAAATAAAAATTAAAGAACATAAGCTGAATATATCAATTGACTTTCAGTTAAAAAATTGATTCAAGGATCAAAGGTTGCCATTAGTACTTTTCTTACTGAAATAGTTCTTACATTCTAGAATACCACACTGCATGAAATTATGGGACATTGATATGGAATGGCTTTCATCTTTCTGGAAAACTCTACATGTGACCTATAGATCATATGTGTAGAATCATAAGACGGTGAATGGAGAATTAACTAGATGCTCACTTAAGTTCTTTTCTTCTTTTCTGATTCAACAATATGTATCCATTTCATCTATTGCATTATCATCTGGAAACTATAAAAGAAATGTGACTTTAGGTAAAAGCCTTCTGTTTAAAGAAATTTAAAATTATTATGATGTCCATGACCTATAACTATTTCTACATAACGTAGTGATGTTTACTTTTAATCATCAAAGTTATTAAGGCTCACTTAAATTTTTTTTTGTAAGAACAAAAATCAAGAGTTGATTTTTTCTGACGTGTTTCCATTTATCTTTTAAAATACATGTTCACTTTTCAATTGTTCACAGAATGTTTTCAATGCATTGGAAACTTACTGAACGGAGACTAAATCAAAATCAGTACTGTGTATAGTAGTTATTGCATTGTTTATGAGTATTATAAAAAATGTTTACTAGATGTTTTAAGAATATCTGGTCTTTTCCCAGAAATGAAAGTGTTTTAAGAAAAATAACAGAATGAAATCCTCATCAAATTAAAGGTCTGTAATAATACCTTCAATATAACTTTTATTTATAACACCAACCCACGAAGAGAGCATTCTTACCACTCTTTACATCAGATACTAATGATGATGAGAAGGCACTAGATCCTTTAATCACACTTAAACATGTTTATTCCTCCTTGTTTGTATAATGGGTATTCTCTGAGGACCATGGCTTCTCCTGTTTCCTCAAGTGGCCAGTAGTTTTGCAATCAGCATACAACTTGGAAGTCTGGGAACCAGACAATATCATCCTCTTCTAAACCAAATCTATTGCTTTCTAGCCAAAGTACAGTTGGAATACAATACTAAAGTGTTCTATGAAATTCTAGGACTGCCTTTCCAAAGGGGAGATTAGAACAGCTGTCTTTAATAAACATTCAATTTGTCACCTAGAAAGTCTTCTCTACCTTCCCACCATATTAGCAATTGGAAAGTGGAAGTGTAAAGTTGGGAGCAGATTGTTTACCACATGTATAGCTTTGCTGAGCAATTTTATTTCCAAACAAATCTTGCTCTGAGACAGGTTTCTGTGCCACTTCAACTCATCTTTCCTAAAGATGATCAGTTGTTTATGACTATTTTCCCCTATGGATCTCTTGTTAAGCTTCCAGAACTTGGACCTGTCCTTTATTTTGGTCTAGGAAGAGCTGAAAAGCCGGCTAAGGTGCACGATGTACGTTGATTATGCTCTTTTCTTGAGTCCGGTGGGTTTTAGTACTTCTTTTACAACATGTCTGAGGCTAAAACTACATGTATCATGAACACATATTACTTCACTTCTATAATATAAAAGTAAATTAAGAAGAGGGTCTGAGAGCCCGGCATGCTGTCATATGCCAAACAATGCCAGCTACTAGGGATGTTGAGGCAAGAAAAAGGAGGATCCCAAATTCGAGGTCAGCCTGGGCAATATGGCAAGACCCAATCTCAAAATTTTAGAAAAGGGTGCGGGAGTGGGGTGGGGTTGGAGATGTAGGTCAGTAGTGAGAGACACCTTAGGTAGCACATGAGAGGCCCTGAGTTCAATGTCAGCACCGAAGGCCAGGACCAAGGGCAAAGAGGGTCTGAGGAACGAGAAAAGTGTAGTGTCCTCAAGTGTAGGTAGAACTAAATGCATGGAGAGTAGTTCTCAAGGTCCCGGGCGTGGGTGCCCGCCCAAGGAGCTAGCATCCCGGGATGGGATGAACTTTTTCAGACTTCTCTTAGGGGTTTGGGGTGGGCCCATGGTCACACAGGTCCTGGAAGCAGGAAGTAGGCACAGCAGGGAAATTGCACTGGGTAGGAGCAGACTTGGCCCAGGAACCTCGGCTTGTTCAGCACTTGATTCTTACTTACAGTGCTTGCAATTTTTAGTTAAGTGGTCCGTCAACTTCTGCAATTTCTTTCGGTTCATGTTGGGAGCTCATGGAATCTGGCGGTGTCTAGTGTCTCTGGGCGCGTGGCAGCGGGGACCCTGGAGAATCCCGGGATGAGGACAGCCAGGCTGGGTCTCTGCCCGTCCCGTGCAAGCGCTGGCCTAACAGTCAGAGCGTCCAGGGCAACGGCTGGGCCAGCCGTGGATTGGCTCCCGGGCTGGGACGCGAGTGACGCCTACGCGGTACCAACACACAATGAGGCCATGGCAACGGCTGGGCCGGCCGCTGATTGGCTCCCGGGCGGAGGCGCACAGGGTGCGGACACGCCCCCAATACAACGTGGGCTTGGCAACGGCTGGGGAGGCCGCTGATTGGCTCCTCGGCCCGTCACTCATCTCCCGCACAGGCGCAGGTTGCAGACAGTATTCTGATTGCTAAGGTTGGAGTTTTCCTTTCCAGTGGTCACTGTCTTCTGGGTTCACAGTCTCTCTCTGCGTCGTAAATCATCAAAGTCTAGGAGAATGATGTGCACGCGGTGTGAGGAATGTCTGGGGCGGGTGTGAGCCTCACATCTCAAGGGAATGCTTCTGGTCTTCAGGGAGATCTGGGGGAATTGGGAGAACTTAACGAAATATCAAGTGTTAGCTTTTCGCTGTGGAATGCTGGAGGGTGAGGAGCTTGTTCTGGTGAACTATCTAGGAGATTGTCAGTTTTTGTGGTCTGACACAAGGAGGAAGACTGGTACGAAGTATCTTCATGTTATGGTTACATTTCTGAGAGTAAGAAGAAACTAGAGTCCTTTTGTCCTCTCCTTCTGTCCCCCATCCCATTCTTTGGACGTGGAGGTTGTCAGTGTCACATTTTAAACCAGTTCAAGAGGCATTGTCCCAAATGGAAACAGGCTAACTGCCACTTAGGTGTGGGGTACAGACAGGTTCAGTGTCTTCAAGAAAAAAAAAAGTTCTTAAACTTGTAGAGTCAGGGGAACTTTCTGCTTTTCTTAACTGCAGATGGTACAACCCTGTTCTAATTAAAACGGCAATAGATTGTGGATAGCTAAGCCAGTAGGATAAATGTACAACATTCTCCGGATTGTCTTCTAGTTTAATTTCAGAGGGGAAAATGCCTTGGAAATCCAAACTATTTTATAGTATACATGCTATCATCTTTAGACTGAAAGTTAAAAGACCCCTGCCTACCATGCCTTAACAATCCAAAATGAAATAGATTCAGTGTTGAGGTCTCTGGTTTTCTTTTGTTGTTTCATTTGTTTGTGGAATGAAAGATTGAGATGCTATCTGAAACCAGAGCTGGGGTTAGGCTTTTTTTAGATTGAAGAGTTGTAGCAAATATTGAATTTATAGACTGTTGAGGTGCTAATTTCAAAAGACAGGAAATCAGTGGTTGTCAGTAGTTAATAAGAGAAGCAATGGGCATAAAGGTGTGCTGCAAGTCTCCCTGTGCATGTGTTTTAGGGAACAGGCCTCCACTGGTAGTGAGCACATTGATGACCATGCCCAGGCTTCTTGGAAGGCAGACTATATTGGCACCTCCTGGGGAGCACCTGTAAGTAGGTGATCTAATCAGGTATTACTTCAGCAAGACCTATCATCCATTTTCCTTTAAAGTAGAAAAAATAATGTAGGAACAATATCACAGCCTGTTTAGATTACAATAGGCATTTTGTTACAGCAGGCAACAATTTCTTAGTTTGCTGAGCAACATTTGTGAGGTATCTTCTCTCCGGCATATCTGCCAGTTCTTCTTTCTTCTATTCTGGTCTTTTAGTTTAAAAGAATCTGAACAAATTGTTGTGTGAAACTCATGGCTTTAAGACTGTGGGCTGCAGAATTGACCTCACTATAAAGTCTTACGAATCTTTATCAAGGAAGTACAATATTTATTTTGGTCATATTTTGTCAGAATATGGGTAAACATCAGAACTTTCATTCTATTCTTGTGAAGTTATTGAACTTAATATTTTTAGATGTAAGAAACAATCTGGAGGCCTGTAGAGTCAGCATATCACATCTCAAGTCAGAATGGAAATTTCTTTTTGTAGTTTTTAGCTGCTTTTGCTGAGTAGAGACAGATTGCTTTTCCCCAAGGGTTTTCTCAGAGTAAGGCAATTAAGTTAAAATAGTTACCTCACATCAAATCAATCAATAAAGATTGTGTTTAATTTGTATTGGACACAAATTTTACTGTGCATTAAATGATCACAGAACTTTCCAAAATTCAAGCAACCTCCAGATGGATGCTTTTGTAAATACAAAAATACATTAAAGTGACTATTAATGCTATAATGTTTCCTTTAATTTTGTGTGCAAAACAATCTTCCCTTTGACTCACCATTCATTGGAATGTTGCCATGATAAATAGCTTGGACCTTGACTTGATGAAAGTGTTTTCCTTTAACATGGACCTTTTATAATGAAGGCATTTGAAAGCTGTTTAGGAAATTACATCATAGAACTGATCTCCAAATTCTGTGTATTACAAAATTATTATGAAATTGCTTTAATAGAAGGAAAATAGAAAGGTTGGTTATCTGCATCATTTAAATTCAATTTTACAAACTTTATTTTGTAGAGTACAGTGATGAAAAATTTGAACTTAAGTTTAGCCAACTATTTGGTTGAATGGACACTGCTACCTCTGGCCTCTTCCTCCTTTGCTGTAATGCTGTAGTGACAAAACACTTTTAGCACTTGAAACCCATTGAACACTGTCACACTCACGACTTCTATCCTATTTTTTTTTTTTAATTTCTACTCACCTCCAATGACAATTCTTCTTCAAAGACCCATTTCCGCCTGACTCTCTCCTCCCCAGTCATTCTCTGTTCTAGGACCTTTTCCTTTTTAGTCCTTGCCACTGTGTGGAACAATTTCATTTGCTCTCTTTAATCTCTCCCCTTTACCAGACTGTACATTACATGGCATGCGCTCTCTCTTCCTGTTCAAGTCTGTTTTACCTACTATATCTATCCATTGTCTGTATCTCTGAAGTTTGACAACACAGACCATGTTGTATGGGCTGTATTAATGGAAACTGGTGGGAGAGATGCCCAAATTCAGGGATTGCTGAGGTCTGGCTGGGCACAATTCAGAGCCACTTATCAAGCAGAAACAAACTTTATTTTTAGAACACACATGCTGCACCACACCAACTCTTCAGGAATTCCCTCAGAGCCCAACTGCCACCACTGGCTTCTGGGGAGCCTCTCAACCCCCCCACTCCTCCTGTTCTTGAGGCCCATTGGCTGGGTCACGTGGGTGGAGCCACAAGAGTCCCCCAATGAGCAGCTCCATGGTCTGAAAGGGCAGGGAAACAGCCCAATGAGCATCACTGCAGAGGAGCCAATCAGCTGGCAGCTGGAAGTTTTCTGGGGCCAAGGTGAGCCAATCAGCTGGAAGTTTGCTGGGGCCCCTTCAGCTGTGGCTCTCAACAAGGGATGAACTCGCAAATTCCCTGTGGTACCTGGTGGATAGTCCCCTAAATGCAGTGTGGGGCACCTTAGAGGGAGAGGTACAGTGCCCACAGTAGGGCCCTAAAATAGAGCATGGAGGCTAAGAAGAGCTTTCCTTTAAACTGATCTTTCCCCACAAATATACACTCAATTTGCCCTAGTGTTAACACAAATCTAGACTTTTTATTTTTGTTATAATCAAGTGACCAGTTGGTTAAGTTAAATACTCAAGATTTACTAAAGATAGAATTCTTATATCTTACATGTAATTTACAAAGTTGTGAATTAAGTGTGGCTTGTGATGAGTAATTTTTGTATTAACTATATTGGAAGTATATTAAGTAAAGAAACTGGTTTCTATAGGCCTGAAAGAGCCCACCAATAAATCCTGTGAAATTTGTTAGGCTGGAGTGAAGGGAGCTCTGGGTCATGAGCACTCATGGTGAAGGCTGTGGCAACTGAACTCTTTGTATTGCTACCCCAGGGACAGTGGATATCCAACCAAGCCCAGACAACTCCATGGTTCTTGATTACTCAGTAAAGGAAGCACCCAGAAATGCCCATCTCCAAATAACCTAGCCCTTTATAAGATTTTATTTCTAACCTAGACCTAACTGTATTTAGCAGAACCCCTCTTCAATTGTGAGCATCTACCCTTCCATGCTCTGTCTTTGCACAATTTCTCTAAATCAACTTCTCTTTGAAGATATTGCTTCTTCTGGAAATATTCTTGGCAGACGCTCCCTGTTTCCTCATACCAATTCACTTATGCTCAGAAAGAAGTTATAATCCCCATGGCCTTGCTTCACCTTTCCATTTCCATACGGGCTCTGTGCTTTCTTCACATCTACACTTCCCAGAAAGTGAAAGCTATGCTTTCTGCCTTTATGGCTACACCTCTCTCTTTACCACCTTCTGTGCTCCTGCATTGACCTGCTGTCTTCCTTCATGTGCTCCTCAAAACCATCTGTGGTGCTGCCATAGAGATCCAATCATATCTTCATATTAAAGAGGCTTCCTAGCAACTGCAAGATGAAATTCAGGTTTCTGTGGTTCTCCAAGTCCGACCTTTGTCAGGCTTGTAAACCTCTTCTCTGAACTGTCCCTGTTTACTTAATGGCTGGAACTCTAGCAGCCACCTTAGACCATGAGGTTCACTGAGGACTGGGAGCCACTAAGAATGGAATGCAATCTAGAAGGGGCTGTGACTCTTATACTGTGGGAACTGCTTGACAAGAGTATGAAATTTGCTTCTGTCTCATTTATCCCATCAACATTTGAGGGCTTTCACATATTTTCATCTAACTGTATAAACACAAGTTCTAAACTGAGAAAGCTGGACTTCCTTTCCTTTAAGGTTCTTTCTTGTTGGATGTTCTTGGAAACAAAACTATGGTTGATATGCAAATACTCTTACTTTCCCTTCACTAGGCTTAAACTTATGAAAATGTCAGTAGTTCACTATTTTGACCAACAAAAGAACTACAATTGTGTATCACCCTAATGGATAGTTGCATCTTTTCATATTTTCCCAATATTTCAAATTATCTAAGCAGGGCCAACATTTA